ATTTCTAAGATCACAAACTACTCAAACATTGGAGATAGCATCTGAGCTTCCGAAACTATGGTGGTTTGTGGCTTGGTTTCTACCTGAAGAGCCCAAATCTGTGATTGGTATTAGTGTTGTACGTGTATCAAAGACGGACCCCCTTGATTCCCGTCGAACTCTTGGCTGTTGCAATAGGGCCGGGGCAGCGCGAAGTTGCGGCGACAGCGAAGTAACAGAACAGGTTTTGGAGTATAGTGCAGTGTTCTTGTATAGAGTATTGTAATTCATATTATTCCAAAATCTTCCGACGCCTACGATATGTCGTAAGCTTCTGGCGCGGCGGAAAAAGCTGGTGGCGTTCGACACTGCCTCAGCTGACTTCATTCTGGGGCTGCTGCTCTAGAACCGGATGTAGAGATTTGCGGAGTCAAGAAGGACACGGACGATTTTCGAGGAGAGTCAGTGTGATATTGTGGGGTTGTTTGGGGGCTTGTGGCAGCTGATTCTAAATGCCTAACCCTTGTTTCAACTTACCTTAGATCCACCCTGAACCAACAATCTCTAAAGCGGTGATGGCTCACTTTACGCCAACCCTTTGTCGGCCCTGACGGGCCAGAGCAATAGAGGAAGTGCAGTTCTACTTGGGGTTTAGGGTGTTCTGAGATTTGGGAACGAGGGCAAAACGGTAGGATACCAAACGCACCGGGCACTCCGGAGGTTGTGCTCTTAGGCTTCTCCATCCAGCAGAGACATTGTCAGGCGAACAGCATCCCACATCCTAAGCATTTCAATTCAATTCTCATTTTTGTCATTTTCAATAACCAGACGCGAAACAGTTCGATCTCGTCTACTTTGATCGAATAGGAATAAGGATTCTCGAACTTGGTCGAATATGAATATGCAAAGCCAAAAGGATTAGAGCTCCTTTCCACTCGATTAAGTTTTCCCCCTACCCGTAAACCGAAAGAACTCTCCTATTCGCCAAAGACCCATCCACAACTAAGCCCGAACTCCACAAACCCCTAATATCGGGGCCTGAATAAGTAGAATAGGGTATTTGGGCCCATGATACCATAATTATAGCAAAAAAATCCAAAAATAGTATTGGTAAATATTTAGGCCTATAGTAGTCCCTTATAGTCCCCTTTGAACGAACCTTGCAAAAAGGGTGCAGATTTGGTGTGCTTGATGCTAGAGCTTGCTCGGGAGAGCTTGCCCGAGGCAACGGACATCTGCCGTGAGATCGTCTTCGCCTGCAGCATACCCATAGACCCAACAGGCTTTTTGAAGGGGACTACAAGGGTTACCATAAGGGATCTATAAGTCTACTATAGGAGCTGAAATAATTAACACTATTTTGGGGGCTCCTTACTATAATTATAGTATCATGGGCCCCAAAACCCTATTCTAATTATTAAGGTCCCTATGTTAACCATAGGCTCCATGGCAATTAGTTCCGTTTTGGGGATTACCTTCTAGGATCCTAATTATAAAACACAAAAAGGAACCTAATGATAGGTATGCGACATCCTTTGCAGGGGCTTAGGTTTAGCGGTTTAGGGGTTAAGGGGTTGATAAGGGTTTAAGGGCGTATGCTTTAGGATTTAGCCTTACAGCTGTACTTCTGGTCGCACTTAAAATGCCATCAGCATGATTGCGTACTGTAACTGCGGCTATGCTTTAGGCTACAGGGTTTGCATCTAAGGATGGGCTTTGATAGGGGTCTCGGGTTGGCTGCGCCTGCGCGCCGAGTTCACTCACTGACTTGCCGCCCGCTGGCTGGAACACTCACAGCCAAAAAAGCACCTACCCCTATAAACCCTAAACCCGGAACCCGACCCCTTCATAAATGTTGCCTCTCTGGTTCCCTAACAGGTAGCAGACTCCTTTAAGGCAGGGTTTAGGAGTGAGGGATCGTTCCCGGAGTATTGGGGGCGCATCTTCAGAATACGGATCCTGCTTTTTAGGTTCTGTGTCGTGGCCCGTTCTTTTCTGAAACTCCCGTTTGAAGAAACTGCATACACTGAGATCCCCCGTAGATGTTCGGGAAGGCTATGGGACTTGTCAAGGTTAAGGGCACTAGGATTGAGGGCTACCTCAAGTGGTTACGTGCATCTACCTTCGCCCCATGTTTAGAGACCGTCTGCTCTTGCGCTCAGAAGGTTTTTCTTGGCGCCTCTTCTTCGGCATCTTTCCTGGCAGATGCTCCGCAGCCCATTGCATACGCGGTGAAACACTGAAACCCGAAGACCCCACATACAAAAATGTCTGAGCACGACCACAACGGTAGTTGCCGTGACCAGCGGGTCGAGATCCCTTGCATCTGGTAAATGTGCATAATCCTCCGGGTTTGGGAACATCAGCTAGCTGCGCGACCTTTGAGAAATGCACTGCGCAGCATGCTGTGGCAACAGCTCTCAAAGCATATGACCCTAAGCACCAAATTCTAAACCCCGAGCACAAACTGTGAAGCCGCCCCGACACTATCCTCAGCCCCAAGTGCTAAAAACTCCGACTGAGGACTGAGTGGTCGTGGAGATCTCGAGAACCTGAACAATACATCCGAGGAGCCTAAACCATGTTTGATCATGTCAGGTCCGTACGCACAGCCCGCCCTTAACGTGAAAGCCGGAACTCCAAAGCGAAAGAAGCTCCGGTCCGCACGTTACTTCCTACAGCAAGAGCTCTATGCTACGAACAACGATAACGTCAAGAACAGAGGCGGTTCTGAGGCTTGGGCCATCACCTTCCATGTCCATGGACCCTAACCCCCAAAACCTAATATTCCTTAAATCCACATCCTTGAAACCCTTACGCTCTAAACCACCAACCGTCATGGGCAGCAGCATCCCGTTCACTGTGTTTCCAACATCACCATTACCATCATCGTCAGCAGCAACAGCATCATCCCAGCTTTCGCCGAAGAGAAGGCTTGAGACAGGTCTCGCTTGAACTCACCTACTAGCCAAGAATCAATGCAAGAAGCAAACGAATCCCTAAATCCTCCAATGGCTGCCGAACCAAGTAGCTTCACTGCGACCCAGTGGGCATCAGGGGCTTGGTCTGACTGTGACTTCAACCGTCACCCCTAAACCCTTATCTAAGCCCACTCGCGCTCTCTTTTTCGCAGGCTCGATGTTGCGGCACCAGTGCCGTCGGCGAAGCATCTGCGAGCCGGGAGGTGTTTCAGGGCCACATTCCATGTCAGAAACGTTTTTCGGGTTTGCGGGACTTCCGTCAGATTCCGCGAATTCCTTTTACGTGCTCCGCCTAATTTTTGGGGGTGCGGCCATTGACTAGCTGCCCTGCCTAGATTTAGGCTGTAAGGCTGCGATTTGAGTCGATTTGAGTTTTGGGGTTTAGGTATTCGTGCAGGATGGTACTAGGACGCCTCGACGGTTCGCAAAGGGGACTTACTTACAAATCTTAGAAGAAGTAACTGTCTCCAGTTCGGGACTTCGTGTTTCTATAGGTAGAGACTGGACCTGGAACCAACTTTTAAAGCTGCTTCAGCTGGATTCCGAAACAAGTCAGCTGGTGTATAGGTAGCATCGTGGATCTCATGACAGTCAACAGCTGTCTTTCCAATGCGCATGGTTCTCAAGCACATGTTCCACATCCATCCGGCACTCCCGACCCTACAGTGTTTTGGGCTCGGTGCTCGGGTGTAGGCACGCATGTGCTACCTGTATACAGTGATAACAGTAACGATACCTAGCAGTATTCATACCAGCAACAGTAAAGATGACCACTGCTGCTGTCGAGGTGGAACTCTGACACACGGCTAATGAATACCATATATTAACTTGACTTCAATATAGTCTTGTCTTGTTGATAGGGCAATGTCTGGCACCCTTATACTACAGTAAAGCTTGAAACACCAACCTGCAGCATGTGCAGCCACAGCCCAAACCCCAAATCCGAGTTGCCATGCCTGTGGCCCACACACTAAACCGCAAGAACACGCCTGCGCCGGATGACCCCTAGGGCCCATGGTGCTTGCGCCAGGCCCGGATAGTAGCCTGGAAAGGGTCTCGGCGGAGTACTAGCGCTGTAGGTTAAGGCTTTAAGTTTCAACCTGAAAATGCGGTCTTAAGGTTTGCAAGAAATACTCACCGGTGATCAGGTGATCATGTTGCGTGTGAGATAGAAAGACTAGGGGTCATGACTGATGACCATGTTCGGAAAAGGTGCTAGTTTGGGATTCAGGCTTTGGCTTTCGGGTCCACGATTCGAATCTGCGGGTACCCAAATGTTGGGCTCTTGCTGTAAAGGTGGGGTTCATGATAGAACTGAACTCGGCTGTTGGGCTTCGGGGTTCAAATCTACGACGCGAGGGCTTAGGGACGGATCGCCAACGTGTATGGTTTTTGTTCCTGAGATTCGGGTCTATGCATTGTGAGTTGGTCAAGGGTCTATTAATGGGGAGCTGCCATGCGGGAGCCTCAATAAGACGCAATCAAATGTAGCCCATGAGGATCATCCTATCATGTGGAACCGCGCTTTTAAAAGAGAGCCCACCTAAACCCGAAAGCTCTCGGCTCAAAGTTTGGGCCTGTGGCCTCAAAGGTGGCAAGGCGAATCAGAGGAAGACCGTAAGTTTGCGCATCGTTCGGGGTTTTTCTAGGTCTACTGCGGTTCGGTGCCTATCATCACCCAACGGTCGTTGCCCATACCCGAGCGTCCTAAACCCAAAACCCTCGTCCCTGAAGTGCTATCCCTTAAACGGCAAACCTTACGCTGAATTTTTCTCAAGCCCAAGAGTCCTAGAGCATTCGAAGAACGGAACCCCAGACTACACTCGAAAACATTTTGACCCCGAGTGATGCAACATCATCAAGTTTGGCAGGGGAATGTTCGTGGAAACACACACACACACACACAAACAGGCGGGAGCCGAGTTGTTAGGGGCGCGGAGCCGTATAAACCCCAAATGTCGAATCTGTAAGGCATCATAAAGCCTTATATAGATGACCCTTCAGCACGGTTTTTGCATGCAACTTCGGGCCGACGAGCATCTACGTGCTCCAGGAATTATTGAGATCTGTCTTGTTGCAGTCCCACGGACTCCGATTGGAATGGAAGGACGGCCAATCTCCACCCGTCCTGGTCGAAGATGCTTCAACATACTTGGCGAACAAAGAGGCTGGCAAATGGTCTGATGAAGATTTGTTGTGAACGTAAATGGGGATGAATATCTCGCCGTTGGCATTCCGAACCTTCTGAGAATACTTTCGCAGCACGTAGAGCCGACGGTTCCCGCAAACGACCTTGCATGCACGTGTTTGAATGCGCGAAGTGAAGACTGTGTTACGGTGCACAGCTGTTTTAAACTTCTGAGAAGTCGCCATTTGCAACCAAAAATCAACATGAAAACGTCCTTAAACCAAGTGTCCCATATCTTGCCCTCATCCTCGACGCCCACTAACGGCGTTATGTCCAGGGGGAAGACCTTCTCTGAAAGTAGGTCCTCCAGCAACTTGGTCAAAGGCTGCCCGCAATGTGGAGGGCTGCGGAACTGCCATGAAATCTGGCTGTGGCAGAAACAAAGGTCCTTCGCCACAACTATGGTTTTTCAACCCGTCTGAAGATTTCCTACATCCTCGGCTAATTGGATCTTCCAGCTGCTACAGTTTGACCATTCCCCTCGAAGGTCCAGATATTGACGCTTTCCGATTCTGAATTTTCACTCTTCCATAATATGTCTCGTCCAGAAACCTAGCTTCAGCCCCTGGGCTACGCGGCTTGCATAGCCGCCAACCGTTCTTGTAGAAGATACCCCACTCAAGCACACCTCTGCCCGCCTTGCGACAGTTTTAAGCTTCGGGACTCAGAACAGCAGCAAGAAACCTCTTGTGTTAAACGTTATTAACCTGCCGACACAGACACGGAAGGCATTCTTTACCCCAAAGTTGCGGATAACACTAGTTGAATGCTTGCCTGACGTTCAGCACATCCGGAAGTCTCGAGCTAACGCTGTAAGCAAACAATTCTGGCACCTGCTTTAAGGTCCGACCGTTTTGGGTAACCGACGGCTACTACTGATACTTGCGGGCACTCTCAGAATTTCTCTTAATATCACTACGCAAAACTTCAGTAAACAAAAAGTGTACTACCTGCTAAACTGCTGAAAAATGCAAGTGTCCTCTGGCAGAAGAAACTGCAACAAGTGTCCCCACTTGCTCATGACACGCTCGGGGGAATAGCGAGACGGATCCCAATCGCAGCAGGTTTGTGCCCTACGCAAGATCTTGACTTGCTGTGCCGTGAGCCGCTCCTGCTCCACCCTGCCATAGGGTAACTTCCTGTACTTGGCCGGCCGTTCCATGTCTGCGACCTCTTTAAGGGAGAATTTGTCTGCACCTGGAGCTGGTCTCCAAGCTGTTGAGACCTCCATCTTGCACTTCCTGCCCGGCATGGATTCTGCTGACAGCTCTGGCTTGCATGTTGGGTGCAACCCCCGTGAGAAACGATTACGATCTGCCAACACTTCTCCAACCGAGCCTCTCCATGATGCCGGCAACTCCGTCTTGTGCTGCGCTGGTATGACACCATATTCCAACGATTTGTGTGTAGCAGGACTGTCCCGTCCTTGTGTAGATGGCTCCTTCTTGCACATGTTCTGCTCTGCGGATGTGAATCTGTTGAAACGTGGCTTCCGGTACGATCTTCGTACCCATCCGGCATGTGGAACTGCAGCTTGGGAAGCCGGTGGCTCTGTCTTGCAGCTCCTCCGTGGCGCGGGTATGAAATGGTCCGGGCGTGGCTGCAATTTCCAGTCTGGGATATCTGGGGCCAGGGCATCGAAGTGATCTGCGTCGTGTGGCGGCTCTTCCTTTGATGCCTCATCAAGCACAAGGCACTCCTGCAAGTGAGTATTGGCAGCGCGCTGCGCTTCAAGGGCCATGGCATGAGCTTGCATCCTCAGCTCAAGCGTGCCGCTCGTATTTCGGACTGCCGCCGCCCTCAAGTCTTCTTGGGCTTGCTTCACCCGCTCATCGGCTTCCTGAACCACCTGCAGCGCGTGCACTGCCAGAGCCGTCTTGGCGGGCAGCTCGGCAACCGAGGTACTTGATTGCTCCAGCTTGACTGGCACCAGCCGGATGCGCCCTGTACTGCCGGCAGCCATGGTCAGATCTGCATTTCATGTTTCGCACTATCAGCATATTTAAAATGTCGCATGTAGGCTGGTATAGGCTGGTACTTTATGGTTTGCGGTGCAAGACTGGATCGACTCCTAGTCTCGAGTTGGCCTGGCACATATGTAGCTTCTGCCATGGTGCTTACATGTGCTTATGCTGCCAAGGACACATCTGCTCTTCATGTGGCTTACGTCTACGGCAAGTCGCCAACTGCCTTGCCCAAAATTTCAAAAGCCCCAAGACAAGGAGCCGAAGGCACTTCATGAGCCTCCAGGGTCTTTCTGGCTCGAGCTGCGGCGTTCCAAGAACAAGGCCAAAGCTCTTGAACGACAACATGATCGAACAGATGACGAATCTCCGCTGTCCTGAGGTCATACATGCTCCACTGAGAACCTGCGTGATCTAAATCTGCACCCCCCCTTTTCCGGCCTCTGACATTTGTGCACCACATGGTCGCGATTGACAGTGAGCCATCCCAAGGCGAAAAAGGGCACTACGCATGTAGACTGCAACCCTAGGAAGCCCTCTCATGCGGAGCATCGCAACCATCACCAACATGGTCATCAGCAGCAGCATCATGTTCACTGGATCATCACCATCATTACCACCATCATCAGCAGCAACATCAACCGAGCTTTCGTCTCCTTGTCCTTGACTTGCTCACAACAAGAGCGCAAGGAACAAAGGACTCCTCTGCTGCGGGGACTTTGAGCCTAGCAGCTTACTTGGAGGAATCCGTAAGTAGCTTCTGTCCTGACTTTAAAATTTCGTTAGACTTGAAGCCCAAAGCGTACGACCCACTTCTCTCAAAAAAACAAGGAGTCTCTGACAAGCCGTTGCAAAAGCTACTGTCTGTTGAACACAGGGGCCTCTATATAGGAGTTTCTCAAAAACGTCCGAATCTAGCATTGTACAGGTTACCTCTCCCAGACCTTGAAGCCGGGTATTGATTCGTAAATTGTTCAAGTCGCTGCAATGCTTGATCAGGACGCCCATAATTAATCCCTCTGTAGTTCCTATGATTGTTTTCATTGGGGTCCTGATTGGGTCCCTCTATGTTGAGAAACTCCCATATGTCGTTTCCAACTCTGCACTCTTTTTCAGCCAACGCCTTTTCCTTGCTGGCGCTTACTGTACGGTTTTAGAGTTTAGTAGAGGCTTTTTTGTAACATTCAAAACCCTGACCCCCTAAACCCTGAACTAAACCCAGTTTCAGGGTCTCTCTCCTTTTTGCAGGCTCATGGTCGCGGCAGCAATGCTGGGTGGGTGAAACATCTGCGTGCCGGGAGGTGTTTTAGGGCCAAACTCCATGAATGTCAGAACCTGACCCTTCGGATTTGACCAGACTTCCCTCAGGTTCCACGATTCTTTTCTGCGCACCGCTACATCTATGGGTGTGCTACCATGGACTAGCCCAGCTTTACGCTGTAGGTTTTTGTTGTATAAGGCTTTCGTGTAGGATGGCAATGGGATACCTCGAAGCTTCGCCAAAAGCGCTTACAGATCTTGGCAGAACTGACTGTCTTGTGTTTAGCAGTTGAGGGTAATTACTTCGCGCCTCTATAGTGATTCTCTAGCTAGACACAGCTTGAGACAGGAGACACCTCAAAGCTGCTTCAACTGACACATGTACGCCCGATCCAGATCCAACTGTCACTACACCGTTTGCCCCGAATCTACAGCGTAAATCCCAAGCCCTAAAGAAACCTATGCAAACTCTACAGTATACACCGAACCAGTCCAGCCAGTTTTGCAAGGAGCTCGCGCGGGAAGTTCAGAAACATCGACCCCACATGGTGGGAAACTTACTGCAATAAGGCACCCATACTTTTACGAAACCTTCACATGGACCGTGCATCTTCCATGATCGTCGGGCTGCGGGGGAGGATCCACTTTGCGGTTTGAGGTTTACGACTTTCTTCTGCGCGGTAGTGCTTCAGATTTGGAGTTCGGGTTCGCAGGGTTAAATCTTAAGTCCTGGAGCATGAAGTTAAGCTAAACCCTAAAACCTGAACCCTGAAACCGCAGAGGATTTATAAGTCGGGTCCGGGCCACTCTGGAAGTTGCGAGTGGCTGAGTCTCCAGAACTGAGGCTCAATGGTATTCCTTACGACAAGATTGAAACATGTGGAGGTATGTCTGCATGCATCTATGTAGGTATGTGAATAGTTATAGTAGTCTGAATGCAAACTAATGAGTACCAACCGATATGCCTACCTACCTACTTATCTGTCCATCTATCTATCTGGCTATCTATCATTAGGTGGGGTATTTGCTCGCAGCTGGTAGCCAGCTCTGAAACCTTAGGCCACACACCTAAACAAGATCTCTTGTGATACTTGCAAGGCCTTCACCTCCGGGCCATCTACATCGGCCAAATGGAACGAAGCCAACAATGGTCCCTACACTGCTACAACCCCTAGTCGAAGCTCAACCTAAGCCCGACCCAAAGCCAAGAGCCTGAGTGGATGGCTCTCTTTCGAACAAACCGAAACTGTCATGCGCCAGTGTGGCTACTACTCCGCTACCCACGTTTGGCGCCACAGGCAAACCCTAACTAACATCCCAGTGCAACTGCGAACTAAGGGGGACTCACCGTCCGCAAGATTCTGTCCGCAAGATCCAAAAACGGCAGCTCCTGACACAGCTTTTAGGGCCAAGGTCAGCTTCTTACTTTAGGGTTACTTGAGAAGGATACTATTTCTATTTGCTCCGACCCCCTTGTAGTATATCTACCCTCGAAACGGAGGAGCAGGCCGGAGCTTGGGGTGGTGAAATCCTACAGCACCTGCTTCTTGTAGCCGAAGAAGCAGAATCACAAGTACAAGAATCACCAATGCCCTGGGTGAGAACCCGATGACACAGCGCAGATCCAAGATCACCATCACTCAACCCTGACCTGCGGAGCTTTTAATGCTTTCCGGAGCTTCCTGGCCTCCACATCAGAGGTCTAGCATGTTCTGGGATGCCTCGGCACGACACCCTCTTCGGCCTAGTGGACGTTTCAAAACTCTGGGGTGCAAGACTTCGTTCTCTCTCGCTCTGTCTCACTTCCCAGGCCCCTTTAGCTCGAAATCTGGCCTCTGTTTTCTGCCATCTCCCTTTATTTTCCAGACCCCAGCTTGACCTGCCCTGGCCAATTACGGTGTCTGTTTTGAAGGGCCCCTTGCATCCCTGTTCAGGTTTACCTTGAGGCCCTACAAAATTGCAGCGATGGTAGTTTTGGCACATGCGGCTCATGCTGAAGTCGCTGTCTTCTGCTACGCCTCTGCCACGAATAACGATGTCAACCCATACACCCTCACAGTATAAAAGACGCTCAACTTCAACCACACCTCTCAACCCCATACGCTCGAAACTCAGAAGGCAACCCAGCGAAGATAAAACATACACAAAAGACACCGACATACCGTAAAGATAAGCAAGCAACAAAAAAGCACGAAAGCCCTCAAAAGAGCCACCAGAACATGCAAACAACACTCTACCCAGCACCGAAAAACACGAACACAACTCTGCGCAGCGCAAAACATAATCTGAAAAACACGGCGCAAAGTCCCCAACAACACAAAAATCAAGCAATAAAGAGCAACCCCCCCCCCTGAAACCCAAAAGCCGCAATAAAGAGCCTCAGAAACCCAAAACCCCCAAACCCTAAACCCCCAAACCCTAAACCCTATATACCCTAAATCCCTTTACCCTAAACCCCCAAACCCTATAATACCCTAAACCCGAAACCCTGAACCCCTATACCCTAAGCCCTGAACCCTAAACCCCTGAACCCGAACTCCCGTCCCCCAGCGACCTGCGCGGGAGGGGCGCCCGCGGGAGCTGCATCCAGGTCGCCCAGCAGATCGGCGGCCTTGGATCTTCGGGGCCTTTCAGTCTGGTTTCTTATGATATCAAGTATATACATATATATATATATACATATACATATATATATATATATATATATATATATATAATCGTTTAGGGTTTAGGGGTTCAGGTTGTAGATTACGCACACACACACATATATATATATATACAACACATAAGCATGCATGTACGCATGTATGCATGTATGTATGTATGTATGTAAGTGCAGACTAGGCATAGGTGGCATGGCCCAAGAGGCTTCTGAGGTTGCAAAAGCGTGAAAAGGACCGTGAGACTTTGGGTTTAGGGCTTCGGGGGTTAAAGGGTGTCTGAAGATTTGTGTGGCTTTCATTCTTTACGTTGGATTATCCGATCAAGGCATACTTTGTTGAGAGTCGAAGCTTTTAGGGTGCAGGACCTGTAGTGTGTTGGCATCTCTGGTTTTCAAGGCTTTTAGGGTCTAAGGTGCAATGACGTCCCTGTTCCAAAGCGCAATCCGTTCAGGGCTTTTGGGCTCAAGTTTCCAGGCTGTTGGGTTTGATGTAAGCTGAAAACACTTCTGCATCGTGATTCCCGAAAGACGCTATGCAAAGACTACACGCTCAGGCCCTAAACACCTCAACCCTGCAGACCAAGGACCTTGCAAGGCTCTAGAACTTTGGGAATCATCCCCCTAAGTCCTGAATTTTGGCATACACGTGAAACGCCCATGTCTACAGACCCTAAACCCTAAACCCGAATAGCCCGCAAACCCCAAGAATACCTAAGCAATCCTGACAACATCGAGATACCAACAAGCCCTGATCTAACTCTTTATGAACCCTAAATCCTTTGAACCCTTTAAACCTTTTAACCCTGCCCCTTTAAATCCCGCGCAATTCCTAAACCCCTAAGGCTCGAGGCGCGGACCGGGGCCGACTTGGCTGCGGATGCAGGCTCCTCCATAGACCTGAAGGATCATTAGAAGGGGGCCCCCACCCTGTAGTAGTGGTATAATAGGAATATAATAAGGCCCTAATATAGTCCTTATAGTCACTATTAATTACAGGGTGGGGGCAGCCTCTAAAGGATTTGGGGGTTCCTTTAAGTCAGGGATCTATAGGGGTTCCTTTAAGAGCTCCTTTAAGAG